TTGCTGAACCTTTATCACATCAGCAATTTGCTAAACCTTCATCATGACAAAAACAATGAAAGATATTAGCATCAAGTGAAGTGAAGTTGTCTTAGTGATGTATGCATCATTAGAAACCAGCTCTAGAGCAACATGTGCTGACTTTCAGTCTGCATTTAGTCTTCTAATACTTATTGTTCAAAATGCAGAGGAAAATTCGAAAGGTGGGGGTGGGGTTGGAGGCAACATGTGCTGGCACCTGTACAAAGTAGGAAGCACAGTCACACGTTAAACAACTAGTTGAGAGACATGCAACTTAAGCGCCCATCATGCGTTCAAGATACCGACGAGCCAACACCCTGTTCACAATGGTGTATTAGATGTATCGTCCAAGTTTATGCAAGTCAGTGGCACGTCCTACTCTGAAAATATGGGTGTTGAGCCGCTTTGAGTCCAGGTTGGCGTGATGAGCTGCCTGATTTAAAACTGAGAGCACCACTTCCCTGCGCGCTTGGGTTTCATTTTGAAGCAGAAATAAGTGTCCTGGATTCCAGTGTCGTATGGACGTATTAGTTTGGCGCTCTTGCTAGGCATATTGGGCTTCCAGGTTTATGGTGTACTGCAAATGGAGGCGGTGTGCGCATATAATGTTTCAGTGACTGAAAGTTTGTTTGCATCTTAACTGCCTATCCGTTGTCGTCCTAAATTCCACCTGTTTGTTTAGGGTCAACATATTCCCTCTTGACATCAATCAGGTACCTGCGGTGAACGGTTAATGATAATTTACATTATTTTCTTCTTTTTAGTATAAGATTTATAATAATTGATTAAGAAACTAGGAGGCATTCTTTTAAATCCAGTGTCAGGGCTTTGCTTTAATCCAAATCAAGTAGGTCAAACTACCCACAGTGAGCTTTTGCAGAAATTCAGGACAAATTTTCCCTTATACACTTGCCTGGGACTTATTCATTTCTTCACTAAATTGCTTCTGCCATAGAGAAAGAAAATTTCAACTGACAAGAAACAACTATATGCCTTTACCTGTATATATATTTTAGTATGCAACATTATTTTCTATGAATAAATACAGTATCTCTTAAATACGTGTATTAATTGAAAGTGTACAGTAGTATTAGCAATATTATTTTTCGTTCATAGGTAGTTCATATATTTGTCAATATCAAAAGGCAAAATACGAAAATAACAACGATGTTATGAGTAACAATCTTTCTCTAGAATGAACCTGCCTGGTTTGAATTCAAAGTGTTTTTATTGTTTTGCTTCATAGCCCTGATGGTAGTTTAAAATATATTTTTATTTAAAAAAAACATTTGTAAACTATTGTATTACATTACTACTGCAGAACATCATTAAAATCGGTCTTGAAAATGCATAAATAGCACAGTTTTCCGGGGCCTCCGGCCCCTGAACCCCGGCCGGGAACCCTTGGTGGCCCCCCAGGTCCCCAGTCTTAGTACTAGGTTTGCTTGTAACCTCACCACTTCAATTCTCGTGTCTACGGCCCTGAACAGGGCTCTGTAGAGCAATAGTATCCGTAATAGCTGGCAGTGATGTTCCAGAGACAAGTTGAGGACAGTGGATCCATTTGCTTTTATATTATCTATAGTACGCAAAACCTCCAACATTGGAGGTTTGAATAAAAGTATAAAAACTCCGATTTTGGAGGTTTGGCGTATAGTTAAGTACACAATACCTCCGAATTCGGAGGGTTGATTAAAAGTTTTGCTCCCTCTATATATAGAGACCTTGTTTAATTAGTAGTACACAGAAACTCCGAAATTGGAGGTTTGAATAAAAGTTTGAAAACTTGGCGTCTACTATGCAAAATCTCCGAAAATCGGAGTTTTCAAACTTTTATTCAAAACTCCGTTTTTGGAGGTTTAGCGTATAGCACGCAAAGCCCCCAAAATCGGAGAGTTGATTAAAAGTTTCTCTCTCTCTCTCCCTCTCTCTCTCCCCCTCCCTCTTCCTCTCTCTCTACATATTTTACTCAACTTTTTAACATTGTCACTTTTTGCACAAAAGTGCTTTTCTCGCCGAGTTGAGCACTTAGTGCAAATTTTT